GGGTCTATATTCCCCCAAACATTAATGTACACAGGTTTAAAAACTGTTTACAGGGTTGGCCCCAAAGTGCAGTGGTTAAGGGAGCTGGATCCCTCAGTCTACTGTGGTTAGAATTCTGGCTCTGGTGGCTGGTTTCTGTGTGCTCAAAATGCTGCTGGGAAGAAGGAATAGATAAAAAAGGATAGTGGTGTAAATATGTCCCCCTGCGGGTGGGGAGGGTGGTGCTTTCCCTCTTGCTCTCTAGATGGCGAGTGCACATGCTTGGGCAGTTATAAAAAAAGTTTACAAACTTTGCGGTTAGATTTTTCCTTTCTATGTTCATTTGAAAATTATATACAAGGGGAGTCTTCAAAAAGTTCATGAAAAATGTTATTATGAGTGACCAGCCCATGGCCTCGTGGTTAGAGGAGCCAGATTCCATGTGGCCAACCATGTGATTTGAATCCTAACTCCAGTGAACTGAGAAACATGCCACGTATGTGTGTACACATGTCCAAAATCCTGACACGATGGAGAACTGCAGTGTAACCATGTCCCACTAGGGAGTGCCTTCTCCCTTTCTTCTCTCTGGTAAGCACATGTGCCTTCCGATGCCAATAAAAGTGTATTGTGAAAAATTATGCATGGATTTTAATTTTTTTGTGCCCAAATAAACTCATACTTTAATTCCGTTTTTTCATTAACTTTTTCAAGCCCCTCGTGCTTTCCAGGTAAGTAGTTATTAGCTTTAGGCCACTTACAATAAATAACAGTATTAGGAAGTCAGGAAAGTCATGATGTATTTTTCTATGCAAAACTCTATTATTGTTAACTAATTGAAATAATCTAATATCTAGTATGTCTGTTAAATTGGGTGAGCAAGCCTGCCAAATCTCTTTTGAGAATATCCATGCCAGGGTTAGAAACACGGGGAAATAAAACCTTCAGCCTGTTTGGGTCCTGGAGACTTGCAGTAATGCAATCTGAGGTACACCCCCAGTGAAACACCTAGATGTTAATCTCCTCAGCTAGATCTAGTGCATTTGTGTCTGAGTTATCTGAAGAGGAGGGGCATTAAAAATAGAATCAGACCCTTTCTGAACTGCCATCAGTGGTGGGACTGCCACCAACATGCAAATTTTTGTAAAAACCCTTACAGGGAAGACCATCGCCATCGAAAGTGAACAGTTAGATATAATAGAAAATGTAAAAGCCAAAATCCAAGGTATTGGAGAAAGGAATTCCTCCTGACCAGCAAAGACTGATCTTTGCTGGCAAGCAGCTGGAAGATGGGCAAACTTTGTTGGACTAAAACATCCAAAAGGAGTCCATGCTTCATCTCCTGTTGAGACTTCATGGTGGTGCTAAGAAAAGAAAGAAGTTGGGGGCAGCAGATGGAGTGGTAGTTGGGATGCTGGACTCCCACATAACTGACCACGGTTTGAGTCCCGAACCTGGTGGCTTGTTTTCACACTTTCTCATGAACGCACATGTCCTATAGAAAATTAATAATAAAAATGATAAATAAAATTAAATTAAAAACAAAAAAGAAAGAAGTCTTATACCACTTACAAAAAAGAACAGCATAAGAGAAAGAAGGTTAAGCTGGCTGTCCTGAAATACTACAAGGTGGATGAAAATAGCAAAATTAGTTGCCTTTGATGGAGTGCCCTACAGATAAATGTGGTACCGGAGTTTTTATGGCCATTTGACAGACATTATTATGGCAAATGTTATCTTGACTTACTGCTTCAACAAACCAGAAGACAAGTAATTATGTATGAGTTAATAAAAGAAATGAACTAAGCTTTTAAAAAAAAAGTAACATGGGCCAACAGATTGCATAGCGGTTACATCGCTGGACTTCCACATTACCAATCATGGTTTGAGTTCTGGACTCCATGGTTTGAAAATCATGCCGGGCACGTGTGTGCGCCTATGATCCTGAGAGGAGAAAGGAGAAGCGATTGCTGTGTGGCCATCTCTCCTGGAGGGTGATTTCTCGCATTCCCTCTCAGTGCCTCTGTACCCACCGCACACATACACACAAGAACATGCACCCTACGGCAAAAAAACCTATTTAAAACAATATAGAATCAGGAGGACCAGCAGATGGTGTGATGGTTACGTTGTTGGACTCCCACATAGTTGACCACAGTTCAAGTCCCAGACCCAGCGTGTGCCCAAAGTCCCAAGAGTGGAGGAGAATAGACTGCTGCGTGGCCAACCCCCGGGGAGGGATGATTTCTTGCTTTCTGTCACTGTCTCTCTGGCAAGCGCATGCGTCCTATAGCAAAAATCTCTCTAAAAACAAACAAAAAAGAATCAGAATGGGCTACTTTGCTAAGAACCAACGTAAGTCCAAGAACCATAGGAGTTGTACTCACCTGGATAAATTTAACTCTGAAATTGTTAACATATTCTCTACATTTCTAGAGGTCAAAGGAGACATTTGGTTTACCAGGGACACCATAATAATCAGTAGGTTTTATTACCTTGAGGACTGTAATATGTCACTGACAGGAACAGAACCAGGACTCAGAAGAGAAAATATTGGGTAGTCGGAAAAGTCATGATGCATTTTTGCATAGAAAAATGTGTTATGACTTTCTGATAACCCAGTATGTCCAACTAACATGCCACTCATCAGAGAAGCAGGGATGTAATGTAAGCAACAGAGGAATGACATGGAGGAACCCACCTATTTTTGCTGTCTGTGCTTGTGAGCATGGGTGAGAACTCTCTTCAGTCTTTTCCGAATATCTGATGGGGCCTGGGTTCTGTTAAATGCTGGAGAGTTGAGTAGGAGCCAGCCCAACACTGTCCCACACCTCATTTGTTCCATTTAGCAGCCCTGTAAGACAAGCACTGGTCCCCATTTCGCATAAAAAACATACTCTTTAAAGAAATGTATCTGTAATAAAGAGAGGGTTTGGGGCCGGGAGGTGACATGGTAAAGGCGCTGGACTCCCACATGGCCGAGTGTAGTTCAAATCCCGGACCTAGAAGCTTGCTTTTTCACTTTCTCTCTTTCTCTCTGGTGAGCATATGTGCCCTATAGCAATTACAAAATAAAAATAAATTTTAAAAAAATAATAAAAAGGGTTTATTTTCCCAGTTAAGATGGGAAGATATTTAAAATTTACTCTTCTTTAAAATCAGTGAACCAGTAATCGTTATGTATCTGCATTACCTTCGTAGATTCATTGAAAAATTAATTTCATTGCTTCTCAAACTCCAAATGAAAGAAAGAAAAAAGTCACATATCTTACTACATAGAAATGTGCCACAAGTAAAACTCTGGTGTATCTGATTTCAGATTTTTTTTGTTCATATTACATATTACTATACATTTTCTTAAATGAGACAATAATAAAAGTAGAGATTGCTTTCTATTTGCTTTATTAACTTTACATTTTCCATGCAAATGGGTGAAACTCTACTGCTGACAGAAACTTAGACTGAGTGCAAAGGCAATCTCCAAATAGAAGCTGAAAACACAAGACCCACCTGACACATGGAAATAACAGAAGGTTCACAGCAAACCAATTGGTAAAGGTGGATCAGAACAATGCAAGGAAAAAGAAAATGGTGGGAATCACAGTATTAACCTCGAGGAAAACGGCAGGAGTCAAGGCATAAGGCAAAATTCATCATGATGGTCATGGTGATTAGAGAGCTCCCCCATAAGGATACGCAGACAATTCCTCAATTGCAGCTCCCTAAGTTTTCTCCTGATTTCTCTCATCTCCTCCATGAACATTTCCATATCATCTCCATCTCCACCCATCCCATCATTGAGCTGCCTATTGGGTATGGCCCACCGAAAATTAGGGGCAAGTCGGGGAGCCTGTCCCCGTCTATTATTTCCAGCAGGCTGATGGCCTTCTCCTCCTAAAGGGCGGTCTTCCTCTCCATTCTGCATGGGCTGCTCCATTTCTTTGTTTTCCTGGTGAATATTTGCCAAGATGAGATTTTTTTTTTTTCTGGTTATTTTGCTTTTAACACAAGACAAAGGCAAGGGCAGAGCCTGAACGTTCTGTGCTCTGAACAGCAGGATTCAGAGCCTGGTTACCAAAGGTTTTTTAGACCTGCATTTTTCCCGTACCTTGAAAAGCTTTTTGAGCCCTCTAGGGGGCCTCCAGTTCGAGCCCCTCCCTTCATCTCTCCCCTCCCTCCCCCAAAGCCCACCATTTTTCTTTTCCCAGGATTCTTTCCCACAGCTCAGCAGGCACCAAAATGGAGGACTGTGAATGGGGGGAGGTCGCGGGGGGGGGGTCTCAGCCAGGGCTTTTGGCACGTTCCTCTCCCCGCCCCCCAGGAGTGTCCCTCGCACCTACCTGGGCCTATCCTTGCTGTCTCCTCCTCCTCCGGATCCTTCTGAAGTGCGCCGCCCCGACGCTTGGCACGCAGACC